CGTAATCGATTCGATTCGCGAACGAAATAGGTTCATTCGAACTCAATTCGATTCGAATCAGTTGAATCGAATCGAATTATTCGCTTATTCGATTCGTTTTCGGTGTTTTTATTCTATTGACTATTTGTGTAATATACGATTGCTTGAACATTTACCATTCGAATTTCATTTTTTTAATATGGATTTCAGTACAAAAAATGTCTGCTGGTCGACAAGAAGCATTTGATCATTTTCGACGAGATAATCCACTTAATCACAAACTTGAAGAGCATAAACGTATATTAAAACAACGTTATACAGAAGCGAAAAGTCTCGGTGAAGCAACAAATCAATGTCGAAATCGAATTAGTAAGAATTTTTCAAAAATCGTGTTTTTGTTTTTATTATTTTCAAATATAATTTCATAGATCATATGAAAGGACAATATGAACAAATGCATTTACGTCTTGCTGCACAATTAACACAAGATGAAATAGAAAAAAATCGAGAATTAAATGATTTACGTTCCAAAATGGAACGAGAACAAACAGAGTAAAGCTTTCCGAATGTTTATTAATAAAAATATTATGATTTTTATTGTTTTCTAGATATCGAGAATGTTTTAATCGTTTAAAAAATATGAAACAAGAAATTGAACATATTCAACATGTTATTGAAAAAGATCGTTTACAAATGTTAAAAGATTTTGATGATTGGTGGGAACAACAATCCGAACAAGCAGTATGATATAAATATAAATCAGAATCTTTTTATATAAGTTATTTTATTTCATAGGAACAACAACGAGAATTATTAGACATGAAACCATTGAAAAGTAATAGTGATGTATCAAGACAATCCACAGCATCGGTAAGACTTATTTTTTGTTGTTGCTGATAAATAATTATTATAATCCTATTTAGTTTCAAATGGAACGTCCATCTGTATCAAATAGTGCTAATAAAACATTACCACAGTATGTAAAAATATTCAATAAATTTATTTCTATATATATTTCTATTAGATTTAATTTACCATTAACGGGTGATAAAAAAACTGATGATGATATTCTAGCATTTGCTAATGCTCGACAACGAATACTTTCACAAACACATAAATGTAAGTAAAATCAAAGATATATTTTTATTGAAATTTATTATTATTTTTTTTGCAATTTTAGGAAAGAAATATTTGTTTTATAATTGTTTTTTTAATAATAATCTCTTTTTTGTTTTGATTTGCTAATATTGTTCGCATTCCTCTCATGTACAGTATACTGTTTTTGTTATAAAAGAAATAAATAAATTTGAGTATTACTTTCATTGATTGTATACAAAAAAAGGCTTTTATTAACAGAAGGATAAACGCGAGGAATGATTGAAAAAAACCTTATAGAATATATCGTATAACGTACTAGTCTCTGCAATGAAAAATCATTACTTTTTTTCTCTATATTTTAATCTAATGTCAATATCAATGCATTAAATACATCGTACTACTTGACATATTGATGTTTTCAGAACATTGTATAATAAACATTGATTTTTTTATTTTATTTGTTTATGTATATATAAATGTTTTGCACTGTTGTTATTTTTATGTTTCTTTATTAACTACCTATTATTTGTCTAACAAAACGAAATAATAAAGAAATAAAAGGATGTAATAGGTCTTGTTTTCTTGCGTTCGTTAAAAGTGCGAATGAAAAAGAGAAAAAAAAAGGCGAAAACGATGATCAGGTATATTTATGAAGTAACATAAACTATTGTCGAATAGAGGCCTTGTAAAAAAAAACAACGAGAAAAAAAATACGAGACGAAAGAAAGAAAAGGCTTGTAATTCGGCAGTGAAGGTTTCGAGTAGTGTGGCGGCATATACACATTATATATACTTCAGGGATGCAACAATGTCGTCTTTTGACAACAATATCGTCATCATCATCATTCAAACCAGGTATAACAATGTGCGCTAAGAATATATAAAAAAAAATATCTTATCAGTTGCTCATCAATGTCGAAAAAAGAAAAGTTTCTCTTTATTATTTTCAATATAAATGATCATATTACATAATATAGGAGAAACGAAAAAATGAAAACCATCTGGTATTAATTCCCATTGTTCAAGTTATATACAACTAATCTCTTCTCTCTCTCTTTTTTTTTTAAATATAGTATATTTATTCTTCTATTTCTTTTCTATTTTATTGTACAGCAATGTAATATAAGAAATCAATCATGAGTAATTCATTACATCAATTTATACCTGTACCAACAGATGAAAATTTTTTATCTACATCATCAGTCATAAATCGACGACCAAGTCGAATATCTATACAAACAAATTATGATGAAGAAGCCGAATTTGGTTCACCATTAAATCATCAAACATCATTTAAACGTTTTAGTAATCCAATTCAAGCACGTATTTATAATTTTCTTGAACGACCATGTGGAATATCCTGTTTTTTATATCATTTTACTGTATTTGTTATTGTTATTGGATGTCTTGTTTACAGTTCAATATTAACTGTTTATATTGAACAATCCTATTCAATATTATTTTGGATTGAATCTATACTTTTTGTTTTATTTCTTATTGAATATATTGTTCGTGTATGGTCGTCAGGTTGTCGAAGTAAATATCGTGGACGTCATGGTCGATTATTATTTATGCGTAAAGCAATGTGTCTTGTTGATTTATGTGTTATTATTGGTTATGCTGTTTTATTATGTATTGGGTTAACTCATACACAATTTAGTATACAATTAGTAAGATATGTTAGAATTTTACAAATACTTCGATTTCTTCATGTTGATCGACGTCTTACATCATGGCGTTTACTTGGATCTGTTGTATATGATCATCGTTATGAATTAATTGCTACACTTTATTTTTGTTTTATTTTTTTAATTGTTGTTGCTTATTTAATATGGTTAGTTGAAAAAGATGATACTAAACCACCTGGTGAAGATATGTTTCATAGTTTTGCTGATACACTTTGGTGGGCTATTGTAACAATGGTAAGATCAAGCATTTATTTTCATTTTTTATTATTGAATTATTATTATTATAATTATAGGCAACAATTGGATATGGTGATAAATGTCCAAATACATATATTGGTAAAATGATAACATCATGTTTATGTATTTGTGGTGTTGCCTTTTGGACATTACCATCTGGTATAATTGGTTCGGGTTTTGCTTTAAAAGTTGAACAAAAAAAACGTGAAAAACAATTTAATCGTTTAGTTCCTGCAGCTGCTAATTTAATTCAAAATTGGTGGCGTTTAGTTGCATGTCGTCGTTCAAATTTACCAGCCACATGGCGTATTTATCGTATTGAAACAAAACGATCGAATAAATTCGGTCGTCATCTTAGTTCAACACTTGCTATGAATAGTAATAATAGTGCAAATGGTACACCACGTATGCGTAGTGGACATAATTTACTTAATTTTTCATCAAGTGGTATACCATTAGATAAAATATCTTGGCGTAAAATTGATAAACCTGAAGATCTTGATACAAATCAACGTATTGCTATACGAATGTTACGTGTTATTAAATATCATGTAGCCAAAAGAAAATTTCGTCAAGCACATAAACCATATGATTTTAAAGATATTATGGATGAGAATGCTCAAGGAAATCTTAAAGTTATGTATACACTTGCTGATATACAACGACGTTTAGATCAAACCTTAGGTTTACCAAAAGCATATCCACTTGTTTTATCTGATAAAGATCGTGAACAACTAACGTTAAATGCAAAAGTACAACGATTAGAAACAAAATTAATTGGACTTGAAAAACAAACAAATCGAGTTATTTTATTACTTGAAGAATTATGTAAACGTTCAAATAATGAAGGAACAAATACCACAATCAATGGAATATCAGCAAATACTGAAGAAACAACATCGGGATTATGATCTGATTAGTATATTAAATTTTTCTCTTTTCCTTTTTTTCTTTTTTTTGTTATTCACTTTTTTTTTCTTTTTCGTGTAATTAATTAGATAATTTGCTGTATGCAATCTATGTGATTATGTCAATAAATATTTAAAAAAACACCAGTAGAAACTTTTACCTGTGGATACATATGATAATCTTTTTAAATGACAAATATAGTTTTATTGAATGGTAAAGACGTGTAAAAATTTTGTTTTTATGATTAAATGACAAATAAAAACAAGGTGATAGCAAATATTTTTCTTTTTATGATAAGAATATATCAATTTCGAGTACATATTGAGTCAAATAGTATTAGCACAACGTAAGATATAATAAAATTTCAAGCAATTATTTCTTTCTATAAAAACGATCATTCTAGTTTCAAAGTTGAGTCAATAATAGCTATTTATTTTGATTCATTAACTTAAATGATTTTCTTCAAACAAGTATAAATCTCATTTAAATATATGTTCGAAAATGTCATAGACTTGATAGGTGAATGATATGTCAATCTCTTTATTTTTGACCTTTTGAGTATATTGTTTTTGCGATAGAAAGGTTAAAATTTATATGTTCAACATTTTGACAGATATAAACGCTCATGTTATTAACGACAACTACCGATGATAGTTGATGATTGGACATTGACATAAAATAAATATATGTATGAAACTCAATTTTGAACAATATAGCCCGTGTGACTGAACTGCATTTGTAGTTAAATATTAATAATGTCGGTGTTTGTTAGAACAAAACAATCTTTCCTTTTTTTTGACATTAAAATATATAATAAAAAAATAAATTACAATTATTGTGACTTCTAGATGACTACCCATGTAAAAATGGTTCGTTAAATTTTAATTTAACGAAATTTAACAAAATGTAATGTTGCGTTTTTGACCTTGAGAACGCGTTAAAAATTGGTCTTTTAACAGACTTTCACGTAGTATTCGTCGTTAACATCTGAAAACGGAGAAAAATGTATAAAAGTCTGTTAAAAGACCAATTTTTAACGCGTTTTCAAAGTCAAAGAGGTAACATTACATTTTGTTAAATTTCGTTCAATTAAAATTTAATGAACCATTTTTACATGGGTCCTAACACTGGTGGAGCAGATGCAGATGATGATTGATATGATATACTTGTGTTTCCACCATATGTACAACAAGTCATTAATCAGGTTAGCTTATTCTAATTGTTATACTTATATGTTGTGAGAATAAGAGATATCAGCTAATTGCCACTATTACTATAAATAGATACTGGAGGTTGTATTCATATTAGTATTTGATAAAAGATATTTCAAATGAATTTTACTTTGACTTTTATCTATTAACATAAAATAAATGAATCTATTAGAAATTTGTAAAACAAAATTAATTTTTATATATATATATATTTTTTTGTACACACGTAGGAGCTAACGAAGAAACATCCCCAACTGTCAGATTGCTTTGGAGGTCGGACTCCGTGCATAAAGTAGACACCAGTGAGGTATAAAAAACCCCAAAGGGATAAGGGCCCATGGGCCTTCTGTCCCGAGTTATAGGCGATATACTGAAATTTTAGCCTATAGCATGGCATGTATAAATAAATCGAATGACAGTATTCTAACCTGAGATTTTGCTTATACAGAGGTCTATTAGTGACTAGAATACCCTGAAAATTTCAGCTAAAAAGAATGTTTTGTTCTCGAGATGTCAAAGTCTCAAAATATACGCAATCCTAGTATTTTTCGTAGGATATGGGCAATTTTTTGATACTTGAATACCTCGAGAACGAAACATTCTTTTTAGCTGAAATTTTTAGGGTATTCTAGTCACTAATAGACCTGTCTATAGGCAAAATCTCAGGTCAGAATACCGTCATTCGATTTATTTATATATGCCATGCCATAGGCTAAAATTTCAGTATATCGCCTATAACTCGGGACAGAAGGCCCATGGACACTTATCCTTTTGAAGTTTTTCATACCTCACTAGGATCTACTTTATGCACGGAGTCCGACCTCCAAAGCAATCCGACAGTTGGGGAGGTTCTCTCGTAAGTTTTCGCGAAAAACTCTACCTGAAAACTGTAATTATCCGTTTTTGATTGCTCTCATAGATACTCTGAACTGTGTTGAGTCGACTGGTGATGACCAAGAAAAAAAGCACACAGCTACAAGCTACAAGTTCTCGGAAATTTGAAACTCGTTAACTTTAAATTTGGGGTTTACTTAACTTGACCTATGTTGACTTATATTGATGACCGCTTTGATGTCTCCAGGCTGAGCGCCAACTATGTACTGGTTGTCCTTCAAACAACTTTCATTGTGGCAAGCCTACACCTCAGAAAGGTAGGCCACGGTGCACGGATTGCGCAACGGAATTTGGAAGAATAAAAGACGC